GACGCGCGTGTCAACGTTGTCTCTTACCTTCAAGCTCAACTCGAAATATGTGTACTCGACCACAGTCTCTCAGTCCGAGGATGGGTTCGTCATGGGCGTGCGGAATGACATAAAATAGGGTCGTTGTCCAAGACGTTCCGTTTTTCTTTTGTACTCGGGGCTTTGATGGCAATGGGGATGTGATCGCGTGCCGGACGGACGGCCCTGTGAACAATAAAGACGCTATCGCGCGCCCTGGACTGTGCGCCTACTTTCCCCGGCCCGCCTGTAATTGTGCACTCTACCTGCTTTCCCTCCTACCTCGATCTTCTCGCCACTGCGCCCTACGTGGCAAAACGCCTTGCATCGCCTTTCTCCAACGTGCCCATCGCCACACGCGCTCACCGGGCGCTTATTGATAACCTGCTAAAGCTTTGGTACGTGCTTGCGCGCGATATGTCCGAATGGGGTACCGATACAGCTTTGCATGTTCTGTTAGCCGACCACCGCCTCTCCGCTAGCGTCGCTAGCATCTACTTTGTCGCGAAGATGGATCTCGATGCACCGCAGGGCGTGAGTGCAGTCATATCTATCTGCAGGCTTGCGTGGCTCAAGAATAGAATAGATACAAGTGTCAGGCGCCATGAGCGGGAGTATGGGTGGGAGCCCAATGACTCACGATGTACGTTGACCTGCGTTCTCCGCTTCTACCTAGCTTGACGGTCTGCGATAGTATTGGAAGCGGGCTGTCTATCGCGCAGCACCTAAGCACTTCAGCGTCGAATTGCTCCCTCCTGAGAAGCAAGGTGTGTTTCCAGTTGCTTTCTACCCTACGCCCATATTAAACCCGAGTTAGGGAGCCAGTACAGTTATGGCATGCGCGTGTCCCCCATCGTATCTAGCGCAGCTTCAACAAAGTCATCCTTCATGAACACGACCTACGACATCTGGCGGCGTTGGGATGACTGCCTGTGGTTTCAGGACATGATCGAGAACGAGTACTCTGTGATCGCTGCCCAGAAGCGCAAACGGCTCCTGGAGGGGAAGGGTGTCAAGAAGAACGGCATTTACATCCAGGACCGTGCGTCTTCCTGGGAGTCGCTTCCACCCGGCCCCGATCCCAAGTCTGTGAAGAAGGACGTACACGAACATCTGCCAAAGCTCACGAAGCGCGGCAGTATCTTCCGGACCAGCATGGCCACTGTCGAGCAACGAGCTATGGAGCTGCACGCCCTCGTAGAAGCATTCCTGGCCGACGACGTCCCGGTTCTCATCCAGGACTTGCGAGATAACCGTGCCATCCGCGACTTCTTTGGTTTTTGGCGTCGCGACCACGACTTGCTTTTGAAACGCAAGCCTCCGATGAAGCCCAGTCCGAAGGGAAAAGAGAGCCGTGTTTCCACACTCAGCGCCTTCTCGTTTCATTTGTCGACATCCAACTCCCCGGCCTCTCAATATCCGGATGCCCCTGCCTCACCGTCAGCCTCGACCTTCTCGCCGGGCAGGAGTGCCAGCGTACTTGGTAGGCCTATGGCAGATACCACAAACTCTACCTTGGCGTCGCCTGGTCGGGTTCTATCATCTGCGGCCTCCGTGAGCGCCACTTCTCACGCCGGGTCGAGTGCACGTCGAGGCTTCTCCCGCGGTTCCGCGTCTGAGGCGTCCGGAACAACCCTCAGATCAAAGCACGTCCCTGACATTCGCGTCGTCACTGTCCCGCCGCCAAATGCAGCATCGACCTCGTCGTCGGCCTCAGCATCGGGTTCGAGTTCGAGCTCGAGCTCTGGCACACTCTCCCAATCTGGGTATGGACGCTCTCGCTCGGCATCTGTACCCAGAGTCACGAAGTCATTCGACGTCAGCGAGGACTTCCCGCTATTCCTCTCGAGCTCTACGCGCGATATATCCGGCCCATCGGTTGGTCCGCAGCGCCCGTCGCCATCGATTCCGTCTCGTCCTAGACTTGAGGCTCTACCCGAGGACCAGGAGCTCGGGGCTCCCTCACCTTCCAAAGAGGCCTTCGACCAGCCAGAGACACCATCTGGGCGTCGCCGTGCCCAGTCTCTCGGCGGCGCGTCGGGTTCAAATCGCACCACCGCAGTCTTCGAGGAGGCGTTTCCTCAGCCTGAAGCCGACGAGGAACTCGTTGGTCAAGATGCTTCGGCATCTTCGCCAGAGCGCGACCGCGATTCAACAGAGGTTAACCCCGGTCTTATTTCTTCTGCTGCAACGCTTTCAACTGCCTCGCTTCAGTCGAGAAGGTCTTCATGGAGAACGGCTCCGCGCTCACGACCCTCGTCGGCGGGCTCTGCTATTTCTGGGATGTCTAACATTGACATCGATCTATCGGGCTTCATCGCGCCTTCCACACCGCCCGACTATTACGCCATGCGCTCTCGCCATCCTCGCAAGGCGTCCATCATAACGGTAGACTCTGCGGAGGCCGTCATTCCGCGCTACATGCTGGATTCCGAGCCGGAGAGAACGCCAGAGGAGCCGCAGACCATCCCGGAAGTGCCGCGGGCCGGGCTGCGCGTTGACGTTCGTCGCTCAATGTCTGGTCGTGTGCCGTCAGCCCCACGGCAAATGCGCCCTAGAAGCAACAGCCAGCCTCTACCAGAAACGCCGGCTGCGACCGACGAGCGCTTCTCTACCATGCCACTCGAGAACGGGTCAGACTCGGGCCTCGAGCTAGACGACGAATTCCTTGACGCGTATTTCACTGAAGGGGCAGAGCGCAATGAGCTGTATAGCGCCGATGAGTTTGACGAGCCTTATGGCGATGTCGATACGTCGTCTGCGAACATGGACCCGGACTTCGTTCTTGTCCCGGAGGGTGAGGGCCAGGACCTGGACGTGCCGCAGACACCGCATACGCCTCTACCCGATACACCCAATACACCGCTCAACACAAGGCGCCAGCAAGTAGCCATGAGCCTTTCGTCGGAGTTATTCCATCAGCCGTTCCGCTCGACGCGCTCGTCAAGGGTATCGGGGCTTTCGGCCGTACAGTTCCACCTGCCGTTCACGCCGCCAGCGCATCCCGTACCCGAGCTTCCGCCTTTCCCCAACACGCCCACAACACCGCACCTACCACTCGAGCAGGAGCGTGCGCTATCTGTCAGCCCACCGACCTCACCGGACGATATCGTTGTAGTGAAAGCAATGTGTGGCGATATCATCGTGCAATTCCGCATGCCGCGCACTACTAGCTTGTACGACGCACGTACCCGCGTCACCGACAAGTTCACTAGTACGGAGGGCATGCATCTCGCCCCCGGCTTTGCGCTTTCATATGTCCCTCCCATGGCTCGCGGCCATGCACAGGCAGCGCATGGTAGTACTATGTCCGCAGCTAGCGGCGACTGGTCGCGCCAGGTTGTCATTCGGTCTGAAGATGACTGGCGAGTCGCCGTCTACACCTGCGGCCCGAAGCTCGTCCTTCGTATCGGTGACGCCGGATCACCCTGATCAACAGCACCTTCGTTGACTGCGAATCCTTGTTTTATGTTTATCTGCTATATCCAGACCCCCCTTCTCCCATGTTGTTTGTACTTCCCTGCCATCACTCTTTCAACAGCACTATCTCCGTCATGACCCGTCCACGATGCTCTCCTTTTACGCTCTTCGCTTTCACTTGTACATCTTTGTAGCTTCTCGAACCAAATGGAATCAAAACGCTTGTGCCGATGCATTACCCAGAGGACCACGCGCGATAGTCTACCTCAATACGGTTCAACTGAGGTCTTGTTTCCAGATAGCAAGTGAGTAAGCACAGGTAAGCACATCGCTGGTCATGCGCGCTTGCGGATTCCTAGTACAGCCATGACGTCACACGTGTCCGGATAATCCGGCGCGGTGCATCCGGGGGCACCCTTGCCAGGCGCTGGCACTTGCTTTCTCCTGCCATGCACATGCACGAGTCCGTACGGATCCCTCGAACAGCGCTCTCGCTTGATACTGGTGATACATGTTCTTGACCTGCATACGTATCTTCCGGCACACTACGTACCGTCGTACGGACCGGTCACACAGTTCCCCGTGCCGCGATGCGAGCGCTTCAAGGAACGCCAGTTGGTGCCGGAACGTCTGGCGTCAACGCGCGACGAGGATGAGTAGTGACTTTTTCCGGTGTCTTAACAGTTCAGCTCCGCATAATGACTTGACGGCACGTACTGGCAGCCTTGCATGTCTGTGTCATATGGGCGTCACTCGTCATCGGAAGTGAGTTCCAGAAACAGTCAATGCCCCCTCTGCATGTACTCTCATTGCAGTGGATCCTGTATGTGATGAAACAGTCGCTCGATGCAAATCGGTGCTAGAAATCGGGTGTCGCGGCGAGTCGCCAAGCGTCTCCCTCGCTTCAGAGCCCCGTCTCTACATATCACCGAAAGGCTGAGCGCTGAGTACCTGGACTACCACGCATGAACGCGGAATTTGCGAGTAGACCACAAGCTATGCGGCAAGATGTCCCGGACTCACAGGCTAGCCTGCGCTTCTTAGATTCTCCTGGATGCACAGAGTCCGACCATCACTTCACTCTCTACGTGCGGCCGCAATATACTCACCTGACCCAGATAGGGACGATACATACTTAAACCTGATGCAGCCTACGATCTGAACACACACAAGATGACTATCCTCTTCCCTCTAGCCGTGACGATCGCCGCGATGACGCTTGCCCTCTATCTTCGGTACAAACGAAGATTCTCACGCCTCCCCCATTTCGTGGCCAACGACAACGTTGTTTCTGCGCTGAGGAATGCCGCATCTGAGAAGCGAGGGGCTTGGGAAGTTTATAATGCGCTCTCCAAGCGGCATGGTGTGTGTACCGACAGACCTTCATCCGTTTTTTCTGACGAATCTTCAAGGCCCCATGTTCTCTTTCAACCTGATGGGGACCCCTGTACTCGGTGCATATATCGAGACTTCGGTCTTTGTCGTGTCGTATTCACTGAAGGATTTGCAGTGTTGAACTCTGCAACACTAGGATGGAAGATACTTGAAAAACGTGGGGATAGCTACTCAAGCCGCCCACGTCTTGTCACTGCGTGAGCTTTGTGATTCTCTGAAAGACTGAATCATTCTGAATCGTCACAGGCACGAGGTCCTATCTGGTAGTCTCAGAGGGCTGAGCTCACCGTACAACGAGCACTGGAAGAGATGGAGGAAGGTACTTATTCAGACTGCGCAAAGTTTCTACCATGTTGTTAACAATGATATGCAGGTACAACATGATGGGATGAACTCCCGCCAAGCTCTCTTGTACCGGGACTTGCAGAGCCTCGAGGCAACTATACTAGTGCGCGACCTTGCGCTCGACAGCAGCCAATATCAGGAGAAGACTCTGAGGTAATGTCGACTGTGCGTTTCACACTCGAAACAAACGAATTTCAAATGGGCAAGGAACAGGTTTGCAGCTTCTGTAGTGCTTAATATTTCGTACGGTCGCCGCGTGTCAAGCATCAAAGACCCTGCGGTCGCCTACCAACTTGAATCAGGCAAAGGTGAGCCACCAGTAAGTATAAAGAGCATCGGAATGTGGTTCATCATGCCTTCCTCTCAGCGTTTTCCAGGCAAGTCCTTTATAAAGAGTGTCTGAAAATACTACTGAGCCTGAACTTTCTTCACAGAGCAACGTGAGTACATCTTCCCACTCGACTTCCCTGTCACCACCTTATCACGGTTGTCAAGGATACCGGGGAAGTATGTTGTGGACTCGGTGCGTGACTGCCGGTTGGTACATACAAACTTACTCACAATACGTAGTTCCCCATTCTTCTGCTCTTGCCAGTGAGTACCTGATTGCTTTCGCTTGATGTCTATTCATCTGAAACAAACCATCAATTCAGCGCGCTCTGCAATGGTTCAGAAAGGAGTTTGACGCACTGTTCGCGAAGGATCTTCAGTTCTATCGGTCTATGGTTCAAGATGTTCGTGAGAAGATGGCGGCCGGGACTCACAAGGAGAGCATGACTGTACGGGCCCTTGAGAACCGTGGCCTGACCGAGGACGAGCGAGCTTACTTCGTCTCAGCGCCTTTCGGTGCCGGGCTGCATACGGTTCGTGTTGCTCAATCGACGAGGGTCGATGCGTTGCTAACTGTTGCTGTAGACTGCAGGAAGTATAGAATACGCAATCTGTATGAATGCTCAACTTTGTGAGAGAGGCATCACTGATTCGCGTTTCAGTGGCAGCCCTATTGCACCCCGAGTCAACGCGCATCGCACAGCGAGAACTGGATGACATAGTTGGAAGAGACAGACTACCAACATTCTCTGACATGGCCTCTCTTCCGTACGTTTCTGCATGGATCAAGGAAGTTCAACGGTGGCGCCCAATTGCTCCGCTTGCAGTACCACATGCTGTGACCCGCGACGACGATCTGGAGGAGTACCGCATACCGCGAGATACCATTGTTTACGCGAATATCTAGTAAGTTGTCTCAACAGTAGCGTTAGCTGTGTGTTGACTGACGTCTCCGACAGCACCATGATGCAGGACCCTGATCTTTTCCCCGACCCCGATAGCTTTCGACCGGAGCGCTTCTTGTCAGTGGATGACCAAACTCTTGATCCTCGGCTGCGGGAGTTCACGCTTCCTTTCGGATTCGGACGGCGTATTTGCCCCGGGATGTATGTTGCTTTACAATCCATATTCATCGTCGTTGCTCGGTAAGCCTGTACACTGTCTTCATGAAACATGGGTGCTCAAGATTGCCAGCATTCTCTGGGCCTTCGAAGTACAACCACGTCCCGGTGCTGTGCTCCCGGACTCTCATGCGTACGTCAGTGACGGGCTTTCGAAGTCCCCTGCCGCATTTGCATTCGTCCTGCGCCCTCGCTTTGAAGAAGCCCTTACCATACTCAATGCAGAGGCCGCGGAGGCCGATATCCGAGTGAAGGAATGGGAGTGACTGTTACGATACGAGGCAACGCCCGTGTTGCAAGCGCGATTTCCTATGTCGTAGCAATGATGTCATTGATTCAGACTACAAGAGGATACTGGGGTGTGACTTGAACCAAAAAATCTCCCGCCTTACTCACAACCGGAACCGGTTTCCTCCGTACCAGTCCATTTTCGCAGCATATGATCGACGTGCTTTAGTTTCCTGCACGCTTGTTGGCCGATGCAGTACAAGTGCGAATATGCAGCGGCTCAAGTCGCCGATGTGAGAAATTTGCAAGGAATTATCGGTTTCCTCTATCCATGCCGAGAGGTCCACGGAATGATAATCTTGAGACTACAGGTCCGTCAGTACCCAGTGTTGCTTGGATGTGAAAGCACATTTACCGCAAAATAGGCGGGAAGTATCGCATTGTTCCCGTGTATCGTTCCCGATACATGGCGCAGTTTATCATTGCCCGCCGATATGGTGCGAGCAGATTGGAACCAAGACTCGACAGACGCAGACGGATTGGCGTTCTGCCGAGCAGAGATGTCCTCGGCGTCATAAAAGACAAGCGACAAGCAACGACTGTCAAAAAGCCTACGATATGTTAGATATGTCCGACATATTTCTGTAATGTAGCAGCACACGGCGTACCTTGCTGGATCGACGACCCCATTCTTAATGTCACACCACAGGCGTATAGAGTCATACGGTATATCAAGTGCGTCCAATGTGAAAGAAGACGTCGTATGATGCCCGCGCTTAAAGCAAAGCATGCGACAGTCCGTTCCAAATGGAGCATGGTCATCTTCTTGAGGAGCCGTGATAGTATCGAGAGTCTCAGTCTTGACGAGAGCCTCGTTTGATGTGATATTAGAACTGTTTGGTTCATGTATTTGCGATTGCATGGATATCATGTCGTCGACACCCTCGGAGGTATGAGTTGCTTCAAATGCGCGTGCCGACGGCACCACAGTAGTGTTCGCGGTGGCAAGATCAAGTCCGTCAGATACCATCGTATCTGACATATCAACTTCGGGTGCGGTGGCTGGGACCTGATCAAGTTGGGTCGGAAAGCTTGTGTCCGCAGTTGACGTTCCATCGGATGGAACTCCCGCATTGACCGTAGGGTATGTGCGCGTTTCATCAGGGATCTCCGGCGTATCGTCGCGGGGAGTGATGTGTCTTTGTCTTGCTGGTGCTGAGGATTGCGAAAATGGTGAACTAGTAGCTGGTAGAAGAAGTGAGGGTGTTGATGGAGAGGTCACCCGCGAAGGAGTCTGCGAGAAGCGATGACCATGGAAAGACATCGAACGCGGGGTTTCTGGGAGGTGACTTGACTCAAAAGCAGATTGACGAGGTGAAAGCCCAGTTGGTGTTTGCTCAACAGCAGGAAAGGAATTGTCGTCGTGCACCGCAGAGGAAGTACTGTGGTTAGGCACGAATGCCGAAAATATGGGTACTAGTCGCGCTGCAACGTATCATGAGCGGTGACATCAGGGTCGGATCATGGTAGACGTAGGCTCACCGAGCAGCTCTTTGTCCATCTCGCTGACAGGAGGCTTCTTAAATTCATCAATATGGGCATGGACCGTGCGGACCATTTGGCGAAATGCCTTAAGAGGGCGTAGGTATTCAGTGGGGCATGGTATATTGCCAGGTAGTATATCGGACGTCCTAGATGTATCGCTGCCCATCTCTGTAGAAGAGTCCACCAAAGCTCGAGCGAGGCGCTCAAAGGTATCCATAGCGGTCTGAATCACCACCATGATCAGATGACTACAGGGAATCGCAGGAGTGGCAGCTCATGCTTACCTCGAGTACGCTGACGATCTGTGGAAAAGGCCAAGTCAGCAGTCAACAAAGGTACGAATGTTCGGTTATCTACTTCGGGACGAGCGCCTTGGTAATAGCCTTTGCGATTGCGTAGGTATAAAGTCAGACGGTCCACTGTCTGAGTGAACTTCGCGCAGTTATCCAGGTTCCCAAGAATGTTTCGATAATGAGGCCATTTATTCGCATTGGCTTCTTTAGCCACAGCCCTTGGCACTGTGCTGGGTGCGGCGCTCATGGAGGGATAAGGTCTTGAAGCTTTGACAGGCAGCAAGAACGGTGGTGGTGGTGGTCAGGTCACAAACGAAGCCACGAGGGACGCCCCACAACTGATAGACGCCCACAGCACCACTCCCACGATTCAGTCTCTGAATCAATACACGTTGCATTATACCGGACGATCATGGGAGAGCACTACGAGCTACACGTAGGGATTATAGTATGTCAGGAGAGCGGGACATAACAAAAAGACAGCAGGAAAGCAAGCAGTAACGAGAACAAGGACATGGACAGCAAGATATTGTACGATCAAGATAGAGTAAATAGTTCTTGTGGGACACCGCGTTCCAGATCCACCTTCGAAACATCCTTGCTAGATATTAGCAGCGCTCCGAAATCGGTTTGTGGAACATGCATGGCATTGCTGATCTGCGCGTGCAACCGCCTCCGAGGCCCGCGCCGTACATCCAACCATCGCAACTGATGGGGATTAGGCCGATGCGCGACAATCGCAAACGTGAAGGCGCTGAGGTCGATGGTGTGAGCGAGCGTCAGCACGTTATCGCCGGGAACCAGATAGGGAGATATGTCGAGGAAGAGTGGCGATGCGGTCGCCGACATCCAAGTGAGTGGAAATGGTACAGTTCGACCGTTGCCGGTCAGACAGAGCGAATGTAGAGCTGGGTTGTGAAGCGACACCGGGATCTCGCCGCGGACGAGCGTATTCCCCCAAATGTCGATGACCACGTCGTCCTTCAGCGAGTGTACATCTTCACTGCGATAGCAAGCCATGGAATAGCAGAGTGCCTCGGACACGTCTCTGGAAGATGGTGCATGAGCGGACAGGTAGTAAACTGGGAGAATAACGACCCACTCGTCGTTGCGTGCGGCATTCCGCCAATTTTCGACCATAGCCCACTGTTCAGGACGAGGGTTCACATGCAATGTGAACGACGCGGTCGTGGGCCGACCAAACGCAACGTCGACCAGACACGCGTCTTGTCCAAAAGAGACGGGCGGTAAGGGTGGCGGAGCAGGTACTTCCGCTACTTCTGAACCGTCCTGCATCTCGACATCGGGGCGCTCTTCGACTGACGGCGCAGTCGTCTTGGCTACGGCGACATCAGGTTCAGAGGGGTGGATACCGTTTGTCTTCGGTCTCGGTGCGTTGTCGGCTGATGTTGCACTCGATGAGGCTTCGAGCGTGTCACTATTGGTCGCGACCCCCGGTCTATCTGGTAGTTTCAACTTAATCCTCTTCGGCATGGCTGGCGACTCCGACCGTGCTGGGCTCGGTGAAGGAGCCGAGCGTTTGTTGTGTGCTGGTGCAGAAGCGTCGCCAGAAACTTGTCGCGCGGGGATGCGTATTTTCAAGACCGGGGAGGGGTCAGGGTGTGTCGACTTGGGCGCCGACGGCCGCGCGATGTCGTCCATGTCTTCATCCCTGGTAACACCACGCCCGTTCATGATCGACGGTCCCTGAATCCGGAAGTGTTAGCGTCGAACATGGACTGACCACGAGAGGAAGACCTACAGCGACGTTCTCCATGCTGTTGAACCTATACAGCCCCGTGCCAATACGCGTGATTGCCGCACCCTTCAGCCTCGTAAGAGAGTTCTCCACCATCTTCTTGCAACTCAATGTAGCGCGTTCGTCGCGCCGGAACCACGGATACACCGTTTGGATGTAGAGCACGATCTCCTTCTTCCGCAGTTGGCCGGTGACGGATGCGCGAAAAGCCTCGAGAACGACCGCTTCGTTCGTCTTGGGCGGCTTGTGTGACGTATACGGGCCGGGCGGTAGCACGAAAAGCCGTGACGCAGATGAGGAGCGGGGTTGCGGAGGAAGTCCTTGTGTAACTGAGGACTGTACGGTGGGTGGAACGTCGGCTGTTGAGGGAGTGATGGGCGTTTCGAGATCGGATTCCTCATCGCTGTCGATGACAGCGGCGCTCTTGGGAGGTCCCTTGTACTTGGGCGGGCGCGAAGAAGATCTGCCATCACTTTGTGCAGCTTTCGGTCTGGCGGGATCCTGGATAGGCACGGCATCTTCTGTGACCATCGGCCCATCTCCTGGCACAGCGTCAACAGGGCGGGGCTCTGTGACGGGCGCCTCATCCTTGGCACCCCATAAAGTGCGACCCTCCGCATCAGATCCACATTCTGCAAAGTGTTCCTGCAAGAGCTGCCCGAACGGAAGCGGCTCATCCGAACAATTGTAATACGGCGCGACAGACAGGACGTACGCCGCGACGTCACGCTGCGTAAGGTGTCCCCCGTTTGAGGCGGAGATAGCCTCGCGTATAAGGTCCAGTAGTGGCTTATTCGGTTTTGTTGAGGAGCGCGGGCCCGGGGGGAGTGTGTAGGGAACTGGCCGATCCTCGTCCGAACCGTCGTGTATCCAGAGTGACCACCTTCCGTCATCCTTGGGGGCGAAATGCTGTTGTAGAGAGGTTGTAACCTCGGCCTCGAGGTCCGGAGTTGACGCGTAGAACGGATAGACGGTGCGGATGTAGGAGATGATGTCCGGCTGGCTAAGAGCTTTGTCGGGGGTGCCGGCTAGAATGGCTTCTTGCACCAAGACGGGCAAGGCTTTCGACGGCTTTATGGGCGTATATGGACCCGGAGGAAGTGCGTATGGAAGCGACGGTGTAGTGGCGGGAGTCGGGGCATCCTGAGTCGAGGACGGC